CGCTCTTCCCCAACCCAGTGCATCCCCTCTGGTGGGGGAGGAGCTGGCTGATCGTTGATGGGGAGGTGGGAGCTGACACGTCCGGAGGCTCTGGGTGCTGGGGCAGTGAGGCTGGAGTGAGGCTGGAGTCCGACGGCCTTCCCCCCACCTCGTCTCGCCACCCAGGAAGACTTCGACTCGGAGCAGCTGTCCGTGCTCGCGTCCTGCCTGCAGGAGCTCTTCAAGGCCCACTTCCGGGGGGAGGTGCTGCCGGAGGAGGTCACCGAAGAGTAAGGCACCCACCCCCACCCCCCTCCCCCGCAGCTCCCAGCCTCAGGGAGGCAGAGCACCCTCTCAGAGCCCAAGCCCGAGAGGCCGCTTGCTGTGGGCTTGAGAAAGAGAGAGGATCGCAGTGCCCTGAGAATCGTGTAAGCAACGGTGCCCTTTAGCCCTGGGACGCCGAGCGCCCTGGGGCAGGGACTGGCACCACACCAGTGTGCCGGCGGCCCCGGCCTTCACGGCTGCAGCCTGGTCAGACCCTTGCCTGGACCCTCCCTGAGGGGCAGGAATCTCACCTTAAATGATGCGGACAGTCCAGGTGTGGCTCCCTGCTGGGGAGCTGTTTTCTCTGTGACTGGCCTCTGGCCCACAGCTGCCCCGTCTACCCACCTGGGCTCTCATAGGTCCTCTCCGGCCCGCAGGTCCCTGGAGGAGTCTGTGGGGAAGCCACTCTACCTGATATTTAGGTAAGCGCTCAGCCGCAGGGCGACGCTGCTCTGCCAGCCGCCCTCCCGGAGCCCTCAGGTCTTCTGTCCTGGTGATGGGAGCCCGAGCCCCCAGAAGCCCCGGCGCCTGCCCCCGGCAGAGCTCTGCCCCTCCCTCCCGCCTGCAGGAACCTGTGCCAGATGCAGGAGGACAACAGCAGCTTCTCTCTGCTCCTGGACCTTCTCTCCGAGCTGTACCAGAAGCAGCCGAAGATCGGCTACCACCTGCTCTACTACCTGCGCGCCAGGTGGGTGTGGTCCCCACCTGTCAGGGGTCGGGGAGCATCCTGGCCGGCGTCTCCTGCAGAGCTGCTCCCCACCCTCAGCTCTCGTCCCAGGGCTGTCCACGTGTGCTTTTTAGTAACAGCTTTGCTGCGTACCGTTCAGTGGTTTTTAGAGCATTCACGAAGCTGCACAGCCGTCCCTGCTGTCTGATGGAGACAGTGTCATCGCCCAGGCCCGTTAGCGGTCCCGTTCCCACCCCCCTTTCACCCAGCCCCGGCAGCCTCCGATCCGCTTTCTGTAGATGTGCTCGATCTCGGTATTGCACGTCAACGGAATCATGCGGCGTGTGGTTTTCCGTGACCGGCTTTTCCCGTGTCCCTGCCGTGGCGCGTGTCGGCGCCTCATTCCCCGATGACACTCCGCTGTGTGGCACATCGCAGTTTGTGCAGTGGCTGTTTCTCTTCTTCGTCGTGTCTAGAGCTGCCGTTTTCACGTGGACGTGTGTGTTCCGTGTTCCTGGGTATACACCTAGGAGCGGAATTGCTGGGTCAGATGGTAACTCGTTAAATCCGTGAGAAACTGCCAAACAATTATTCAGGAGTAACTGCAACCACTTACGTTGCCACCAGCGACGTGCGAGGTTCTGAGTTCTTCGCCCCTTCTCCATTGTCTGCCTGTTTGGTGCTGGCCATTCTCGTGGGTGTGAGGTGGGACCTCGCTGTGCTTCTGACGTGATTCTCCTCATGGCTCATGATGTGGAACATCTTCTCACACGCTTATCGGCCATTTGTATGTCTTCTTTGGAGAAATGTCTGTCGAAATTCTGTCCTACGTTTTAATTAGGTTATTTGTCTTCCTTGTGGGTTTTTAGGAGTTGTTTACGTATTCTGGTTACAAGACCCTTTTCAAATATATGGTCTGCATGTATTTTCTTCCATTCTGCGGGTGGTTTTTCACTTTTTTGATGGCGTCCAGTGAAACACCAAAGTTTTAAATTTTGATGAAGTCCACTTTATTTTTCCTTTTGTTACTCTGCTTTTGGTGTCCTGAAGATTTAAGCTCACAGGTTCTTTTAAGAAGCCTATACTTTTCGTTATTCCATTTAGGCCTAGAACCCGTTACGAGTTAAGTTCTGTGTGTCGTGTGGGCGGGGTCTCCACGTGTCATTGTCCTGATGGCTCGGAGCCCAGAGAGCGGGAGAGGAAGCTTCTCCAGCCTCCCCTGAGCCCCCTCGCCTGTGCAGACTCACCCACTGGCAGCCTGCTCGTCGTGCTCGGGGCTCTGCCTGGGGCGTCCGGGAAGGGTGGGCAGGCAGAAGAGTGCTTCCTGGTGCCCATAAGTCCCCGAGCCCTTGGGGAGCAGGGAGAGCACGAAGTAGGTCGTGCAGGGCCGCAGAGGGGCTCTGGGGGGCCCTCCTCGGGGGCGTCTGGGGCCGGGTGCTGGGGCCGGGCGCCTGGCTGAGGCCCAGCCGGTCCTCTTGCAGCAAAGCCGCCGCAGGGAAGATGAACCTGTACGAGTCGTTCGCCCAGGCCACACAGCTGGGCGACCTGCACACCTGCCTGATGATGGACATGAAGGCCTGCCAGGAGGACGACGTGCGGCTGCTGTGCCACCTCACACCGTCCATCTACACAGAGGTCAGAGCCGCTGCCGGGTCTGGGGTGGGTGGCACTGTGCCCACCTCGGTGCCCGCAGCCCTGACCAGCCCTCCTGCACCCCTCCGGCCTTGGTGGGGTGTCCCCTGCTTCTGCCTCGCTTTAGTAAAGGCTGAAGGAGGTCTAACCCCCCCCCCGCCCCCAAGTCCCTGTCCTGTGCTCTGTCTGTGCGGTGAGCTGGGGCCTGAGCCTGTTCTCTTGGCTTCCCGGCTTTGGCCCCCTCCCCTGGCCCTAGGGTGGGTTCCCCAGCCCTCTCGCCAACTAGAGGCTCACCGTCGGATTCTCTCTGGTTCCCCGAGACCAGGGCCTTGTGCACACTCAGCTTCCGATCCCCCCCCCTCGCGCCCCCCCACCCTGCCGTCACCCACAGCCTCCTCTGGGAGCTGGGACACAGCCGGAGGAGGTGTCTGCTCTGCCTCCCCTGGTGCAAGGCCCCGGGATGGGAAGTGGGTGGGGGGATGGTGGGACAGGAGACTGTGCTGGCAGCTGGCAGCCAGGAGCGGGCGGGAGGAGGCTGCGGATGGCCAGCCGTAGTCGTTCCTCCCCTGCTCCGTCCCCGGGGAACCGGCCTCTCCAGGAGGGGTCCTGCCCACCCCGCACCCTCCACCCTCACGCCCTCCGCAGTGCAGGCTGCAGCCTCCTCTCTGGCTGAGGCCAGTGCCCCGAGGCTCAGCTTCCCAGCTTCGGAGCTGCTGGGTCTGCTTAGGGCTTTACATTAGGCACCGTGTCTGGCTCACCAGCCACCCCCGGGCACGCCCTGGACCCTGCCTCAGTTTCACCCCTCCCCAGTTTCCAGACGAGACCCTGCGGAGCGGGGAGCTGCTCAACATGATCGTGGCCGTCATCGACTCTGCACAGGTGGGCGTCGAGCTGTCGCCTGAGAGGCTGGCTGCAGACGGGGCCCAGGCTGGGGGGACGGCGCAGCTTGGAGGGGCAGGCGGGCCGCAGTCCTGCCAGGCTCCCCAGTCTCCCCCACGTGCCTTGGGCACTCCCGTCCCATGGGGAAAGTGAGGGATTGGCTGTTGCTCTCCACTGGCCTTCCCTGGGCTCAGGGCGGGAATGGTCAGACCGTGGCCTTTGCACGTGCAGCAGTCCCCGGTCACCGAGAGGCTGTAGCCCTGTTGGTCCACCCTCGAGCCTGACTTCAGGTGCCCCGTCCGTAAGGGAGGAAGCTTAGCAGCCCGGTCCTTCCCTGGCTTTTCTCCTCCCCACACCTGTGGTCCAAAGCTTGGCCTCCTGCAGTCCCCACCCCCATCACGGGCTGGGACGGGTCAGACATGATGGCCTGGTGGAGAAGCTGCCTATCCTGCCATCAGGGCGTGAGGGGTGCTTTTACTTAACTATTTTGCCCCAGACAGACCTGTGGGCACCACTCAGGCCTGCTGCTGCTTTCCCAGACTGCTCTGTCCTTCAGAGACCCTGGCACCCGTCAGGCCCTTCCTGTCCCATCAAACCAGCTTCTGTTCCCTCCGACTCCCCACGCGCCCTCCTGCTTCTCCCCCGTGCCACTTACGTCCGGGTTCTGCCTTCCTCCTCCTCCTCCTCCTCAGCTCCAGGAGCTGGTCTGCCACGTGATGATGGGGAACCTGGTCATGTTTCGAAAAGACTCAGTTCTCAACATTCTGAGTAAGTGGACGGACCGTCGGGCACGCTGGGCGACGGGAGCGGCCACGTGTGTTCCAGTGGCAGGAGAGCCGCTTCCGGCAGAGTGAGCTAGAGCTCCCCGCCCCCCAGTGGGCGTGGGCCGCGTCTCTCTCGACCTGTTTCTTGCTCCGTGAAAGGGAGAGAGACCTCGGCCCTCCGCCTGCAGAGCTGTGTGATGGCTTTGGGCGTCAGCTGTGCGGGGAGGGGACATATCTGTGGGCTTAGGGTCACTGCCATCCATGCTCCGGGCGCCGGTGGTCAGTGGGTTCGCTGTGTGTGTGCACGCACGTGCGTGCGTGTGCGTGAGAGAGAGCGTGTGTCTTCTCCCTCTCTCGAAGTCCAGAGCCTGGACTGGGAAACCTTCGAGCAGTACTGCGCGTGGCAGCTCTTCCTGGCCCACAACATTCCCCTGGAGACCATTATCCCCATCCTGCAGCACCTCAAATACAAGGGTGAGCAGGCTGTACAGGGGCGGGGCCCTGAGGACACGCTCAGCCCGGCCAGGCCCAGGCGCAGGCCCATTATGGGTTGCTGAATGGACACCCCTCCCCTGCTCCCCGAAGTGCCCTGCAGGAGGGCAGGCTCCCTGTCAGCCTTCTGTACCTGGCCGAGTCCTGCGGGCCCCTCTGAGCCAGGCACTGGGGCTTTACACGGGTGGGCTTGGTGGGGGCTTGGGGATTGGCCTGGCCCTCCCCGTGGCTGTCGCTGGGCGGTGGGAGAGGTGCCAGGATTTCTTCCTGGACCCTCAGCTGTTTCTGAGCGGCTTCTGCCCTTCCCCGCAGAGCACCCAGAGGCCCTTTCTTGCCTCCTGCTTCAGCTTCGGAGAGAGAAGTGAGTTCCATCCGCACCTCCTCACCCCCCGCCCGCACCCCCCCGTCTCCTGAGCCCCCAGCCCCACACTCCTGGGAACTTGGTATAAAGGGCTTCAGCCCTGGCCCTTTGGCCACATTTTTTTACCTACTGTTGTTGACATGGGCTTCTGCTCCTCCCCCAAAGTGATTACAAATGATCA